TATATATATATATAACTACACATAAACGCCTGCCATTTTCAAAGTTATAAACAATCAGGTTAAAAGTCAAACTGTTTTCTAAGCATTTCTTCCAAAGAGATGTGCGAGTAGTTAATTAAAACAAACGAAAATGACGCATCATTTGCAAAAACACTCCGGATAATAAACAGAAATGTTTCCGGGTGTTCCGTAGCGTTTATCTCGAGAATGCAAAATCACTCCTGCTTTCAAGATTTTAATTGAATTGATAATATCAAAGAAACTGCAGAAGTTTTCCTATCAGGAGTTCAATAGTAAACAGATTTTAATTTGATAACAAGACATTTGAAATTAGATATAGCTTTTTTTAAGGAATAAATTAAATACATAAATTACAATTCTAATTAAATTTTTTGAGAATAAAATATTTTGAAAATATTTTAGATCTTATATTCAAAATAAAGAAATTGCTACCCATTCGATTAAACATAACCGCCTCTTTAATCTTTCGTATTTAAAATTATTGCTGTGGGAGATAATTTTTAATTTAAGTAATATTAAATATAAAGATTTAACTATTATAATTAGCTAAATTTTTAAATATTATTTTATTTTTTACGATGAGCACGCTGTAAAAAATTTCGGATCCAATTATGATAAAAAGTACTGTCACTCATTCCGTAAAGCCCATTCTTACCGGAACATGCTACGGAGCAAAGATTTTGATACACAGCAATTTTTACAGTGCTGATTACCGTAAAATCACTGAATCACACTATTAAAATAAATATTACTGTAAAAATTAGGGTATAATATTTTACGGTAAAATTGATTTTACTGATGATGCACCCAAAGTGTCGTTACTTTATTCCGTAATTTGATCCGGAATTTTTACAGTGTAGATATTATTTTGATTTTCTTAGTGACTCCAATACTATCTATATCTTACCGTTTGTATACACAGACATAATCAAATTCTTAGGTTTGAAGTATTTCAAATCGTTGGCTCTATTTAAGTAAGAAAAATTTTGATCCTCGTTGCTCTATTTTCATTTCTGTAGTTGATGAATTACGATATAAAGTATGTGTAGTCTTATTTTTTATTTTTTTAAAAGGATAGTTGTTTTTCTATATTTGTATTTCCCTTACTAATTACAAAAAAAGCATGAAAATTAACAAAAATTGCAAATACTCTAGAATCTTCTAGAATTGAATATTCCTGAAACAGAATTTTTATTTCATAATTTATGTGTTGTAATTTTGTTGCGTCTTTATTTCTAATGATTTCAGTTTTGCTTTCAAACTATTTCTCGTATGAAAATACAAAACAAATAGAGTACAATAGTTTTAAATAGTAAGATTTTTATTTTTGTTTTGTATACTAAAGAAATTTAGAAATCTCTATTATAAAAATAAAAGTTTCGGTGCAAATTGTAACTTAGCAAGAAATATGTATTTGTTTTCTGTATTTATATGTTTAAAAAACGTGTACATATACGTTGAAAAGCATGCAGCACGCGTAAATGCAAAATAAATTAAAATATAATAATTTAAATTACAATACTTTTTGTTTTCGATCTGTATACTGAAATGAAGAACCATTATTCTAAAAAATAAATGAGTTTCGATGCAGCACAAGTCATTATATGTTTTTTATATTTAGATTTTAATTTTTCAAGTCATACATACAAATATAAAATAAATAAAATGCTGTAGCTCAATAAGTTACTTTTATTTTTGCTTTCGTATTGTACACTAAAAGAAGAAAGGAGAGAACTGATATCATAAAAATGAAAGATGTGACAAAACTCGACATATGATTCTGTATATCATGTTAAGGAAACATAAATACATGTTCAAAAACGAGTCATA